TAAACGGAGGGGGGGGGTTAAAATTCAAAGGCGTCAATAATTTACAGGCTTAAAATTTACAAACTATTGGTGGATTTAGCATCTTTCTCTAACTTTTCGAAATATTCTTAATTAAACACATTAAATTGGGACAAACATAACTTCAATCAAGCTGCAACAAAAACTGTGTGTGTGGAGGGGGGGGGGGGGGCATTTGAATGAAAAAATTCAATTTCAATATTAAATCAAATCGATGCGCTTTCCCCCTCGTACCACAGGCTTACGTAGATAGCTTGATATTTTATTGTTTCAGATTAATTTTACTAATTCTGAAATGTGATGGGGGTGGGGGTTGTTTGCTTGTTTATTTTTCTCTATTTTTATTGTTTGCTTTTTTTCTTTTGAAACTTTGTAAAATTATACAATGTAGCTACACAATTTGACACATCTTTAACCTTTTTTGTATACTGGTATGTCACCCTATAAAAGGTAGCACTGATCATTTAACATGACAAACCGACCCTTTACTACATTGAATACACCATTTAATTTGTATATGTATATTTTAACCTATAATAAGTAATGGCGACCATTTAACATATTAATTCTACCCGTTATTATATCGAATGCACCATTCAATTTTTATGCTTCACGCCGTAACAAGTAGCGTCGACCATTTAACATATCAAACCGACCCGTTGTTATATTTAACCGACCCGTTGTTATATCAAACCGACCCGTTGTTATATCAAACCGACCCGTTGTTATATCGAATGCACCATTTAATTCGTATACTTAACCCTATAACAAGTAGCGTCGACCATTTAACATATCAAACCGACCCGTTGTTATATCAAACCGACCCGTTGTTATATCGAATGCACCATTTAATTCGTATACTTCACCCTATAACAAGTAGCGTCGACCATTGAACATATTAAACCAACTCTGTATTATATTGAATGCACCATTTATTTTGAATCTTTCACAGTATAATAAGAAGAGGTGACCATTTAACATAGTAAACAGACCCTTTATTATATTATACACACTATTTATAATGTATCTTTCACCGTATAACAAGGAGTGGTGACCATTTAACATAAAGAACCGACCCTTTATTATATTAAATACACCATGTATTATGTGCGCTTAACCCTTTAACAAGGTGTGGTGACCATTTATTATATTGATTCAACCCTTTATTATATAGAACACACCATGTAACATAAAGTACCATACCTTAAGGCAGCTATGGCGTTCCATAATCGACTCTCAAAGAGTCTAAACTGGGGGGTGAAACCCCAGGTCAAGTGTTCCTCAGTCCCACAGTTCCAATTATCATTTATAAAATACAATTATAATGATTTTGAAATTAGCAGTACAGAATTATTCAAAGTTAGAGTACAATATACAACAATGCTATTTTGATATACAGACAAAAATATAGAGAACTTACATGTATATGTCAACCTGATAAATATTCATTACGTAATATTAGAGCATGTTGAATATATTTCCCTAGACCAACCAAGGTAGATATGCGGTTTGTACCTAATAACTGGATTAATTTAAATGTACTTGGCGATTTGTAATAATATTCATTTATATATTTCTTTCTTAGATTTAGGTATCTAGGACATTGGAGAATGAAATGAAATTCATCTTCTATTTGATGACTATCACAAACATCGCATATTCTATCATTTCTGCTCTTGCCTTGGTACCTTCCGCATTCTATGTTTAAATAGTGCGATGAAAGTCTGATGCGAGAAATATGCTTTTTTAAATTACTTTGTAACGGTTTTGTTAAATAAGGTTGCATTTTACAGAAATCGGGTTGGACAATGTGCTTATATAAAAAACATTTTGACGAATTATCCATAAATGCATTGCATTCTTGGAAGTGTATATCTAGTATTCTGTTTTTATATATATGCATAAAATTAGCAGAGTTTATTACTTGTTGATTCATCCAAAATTTTCCCAGACCCAACCTAAATAATTCAAGCTTTACGTCACGCGCCCAATTTATATTTGTGCTTGTTCCCGGCCCATTCTCTGCATCATGTCGCAGGTACTCGTATGAAGCTTTTAAAATGCAGTTTTCTGTTTTTAATAATTTACACCAGAACTTCATGATTCTTAGTTTTCTTTGAATAATAAGTGGATATCGTCCCAATTCTCTATAAATCATATAAGTACATGCATTGCGCTTAACACCAAGAGTATTTTTACAAAAGGATAAATGCAGTCTTTCAATTTCTGGAGATTTATGAAAACCCCAGATTTCACTACCATACGATAAAATGCTGCCGATATATGTATCAAATAGCTGACAGCGGGTTTCGGCGTTAAATTCAAATTTCTGAATATTACGGTTTAAACCAAATAGAGCTTTTTGACCTTGTTCAGCTAACTTTTTTTGCCTAACATTAAATTTACCGTTGTAGTTTAAACATAATCCAAGGTAATTAAAAGAATTGACAATTTCTAAAACTTCATTATTATACGTCCATGAAAAATTAACGCACCCCCCTTTCCTAAATACTAAAATTTTGGTTTTTGCGGTGTTTACGGTCAAATTCCACGATGATACGTATCCCTGTAACGCATCAAGCAAGTTCTGTAACTCTTCTGGTGAGTTAGCGAATATTACTGTGTCATCTGCGAACATCAAAACAAAAAGATTTAATTCCTTTAATTCTACGGATGGACATTTATCGTTTATGAAATGATTTTCCAAGTCGTTAACGTACATATTGAATAATATCGGTGATAATACTTCTCCCTGCAACAACCCGGTATTTACAGAGAATTCCTCGGATATCTCTCCTGCATTTTTGACACAGGCGCGTACATCAACATAAAGCGAACACATGACCATTCATTGACAGCGCCATCTGCCGCGGGCTCTACCTGTGGGTACCTGTCAGGTAAACAAATATGTCACACCCCCATTGTTTTATTAGCTATACACACCGACAGATTTCACACCTTTAATCATACTAATTTACACAAAGCAAATTCTAAGGAAAAACAAACGCTTGCACAATAATTGTGGCATTATTTTTTTAAGAAATCATGGTCCTAAACGGCACTGCTTAAAGCACACTAAACGAGTAGATTCTTGTCTAGAGATACATGTATGTTGTACAAAAAATAAAACACAACAGGGTAAACCCTTCTTATCATACAGTATAAACTAACTCTCTTTAATTACATAATTTATGTTAAAGTCAAGATTAAAACATTTTGCACCACCCGGACCTTAAAACGTAGGGGGACCTTTTCTTATACGGGCGGACCTTTTCTTATAAAAGGCGGACCTAATATGTTATCGTATTAGGTCCGGCCGGACCTTTAAACGAGGCGGACCAAATATTATGCGACACCGGTCTATGATTTGCGTAAGGAAAAACACAGAATGGCATACTTATAGGTGTACTTTCACAACGGTCGTCTTTAGATCTTTTCCAAAAAATACATATTAATAATTAAATGTTTTGTTCGATTACCACATCACATGCATTTTTTCTTATGACAATACTAATTCATTTATCTAAAGTTATCTTAACCGAGATCCATTGATTTGGTATGAGAAAACATTCTTACTACATAAATAAGGGAAGTTAACGATGGGATAGATGTATATGATGAAAATGAATATTGTTAATTGATTAAAACGTCGTCGATATATCTTACTGTTAAATTGAAAACCACAGCAATAGACGTCTCAATTTTACGTAGAATGTTTTCTCTTTATCTGCATATGTTTCATTTCAATCAATTCTGCTCATAGGTCTGATAATAACAAAACCTACTTACTATGTAGATACTGTCAATCATAATATCACGCATCTTTTAAATATCAACTTTTGGAGTATTTGTTTGAACAATTAGAATGTTTTTAACCAGGCTTGGGGTCAATTACTTTGAAATGTAATTAATTACTTTCAAATACATTGATAATTTTGTCAATTACTTGCAATTACAATTACATTGATTTTTTCAAATGTAATTAATTACTTTCAATTACTTTGACAAATGTAATTAAATACATTTCAATTACTTCGAGTTTTATTTTTATAAAAAAAAAAAGATAAAGATTTTTTTTTAAATAAGATTTTTTCTACAGCGATCGAATTCAAACTTTCATTAAGTGTTTTTGTTCTTGGGTATGATAGGGGTTCACACCTATTCAAAATTAGACCTTATAATGAGTGTGACACACAGTATAAACAAATTAAACATTATAAGGGACATTTAATTATTGTACAAACACAAGCCCATGCTACACCAGTATGGTGTATGGCAAGATCTTTTTTGTTACTTTCTCAAATCCATATTTTTGAAGGAAATAAATAATATCTAGGACAGTTCTTCATTATTTTCTATCCTAAAGTGAATAGAATACAGGTAAATCTAAGAGGGGATCTAAACATTCAGGGAGAACTGAGATTTATAAAACATGGGAATAATTAATTTAACCCACCATTCTAAAACTATGTACATGTATCAGTATAAGACACCTTTTTAAATATAAACTTTCATTTTGAAAATTTTTTAACAAAATAATTTTGCAAGCAATAAACAGATAAGTAAAAAAAAAATGTAATGTATTGTAGGAGATGGTTTTATAAAGTGTTGAAAAGTCGTGCGTTTTGATGTTGTGGACTTTATAAAAATTTTGTTGATTCCAAATTTTCTTAAGATTTTTTTTTTTGAGTTTTAAAGTTGAGAATCCGATTTACATCGTATTTCTCTTTTTACTTTTCATATTTCTCGTAGGCGAATTTGAAGTAAGTTTGATCGATATATACATGCTAGAGTATAATATTCATTTTCAATTATCCTGTCCTCGATTGATATTCAAATGAAATACTTAGTATATGTATGTGGAGAATATTTAAAGAAACTGCATGCAATAGTATGTCCTACCGAGTATCACTTGTAAAAGGGAGCAAATACATAACACAAAAGATAAAATAAAAGTGTATATTGTCTATATATTTCCATAGATATCTGGTCTAACGTCTTATATTGGATGTGAACTGAAAGTGTTTGAGAACTTGGATCCCTGGATTATGAACTTGTTGGTGTGTCTGTTAGTGTCGGCTGTTACAGAAATCACCAGCAACACTGCCATAGCATCTCTTATTATGCCAATTATATTTGAGCTGGTAATAATTAAAATTTATTCTGCCGTTCCTTCATTCGTAATCATTCTTAGCCACTAATATCATATTCAAGAACTGATTTTTCTGTTTTTGTAGGCGATCTCTGTTGGACTTCATCCCCTTTATTTGATGATATCCGCAACCATCGCATGTTCATTTGCCTTCTGTCTTCCAGTAGCCACGCCCCCAAACGCCATCGTTTTTTCCTCTGGATTCATCAAAATACCCGAAATGGTATCGAAATCATCCTCTGACAACAATTGCAGAGAGTTTTTTTTTTAATTGATTGTGTGTCTTTGTGTCCTTTACAATTATATTAATTAATTATTGATACTGAATTTAAGGTATTTTTTTAAGGACGTTCGATCCTGAGCTTTTGAGTGAATTTTGGTCATGTCCTTTATCTATAAAATTCTGCATCATTTTTAAGTTATAACATTAAATCTGAATTATACAATGCAAATTGAACTATATTCAACGAAAAAACCGCGATTAAATTCTATTCAAGTAGAATTAAACTAGGGACTATATTTTGTGGCGGAAGGTTTTTTAGACGAAAATGATCCGTTTTTCTCTTTTGAACTATAACGATACTGTTTATTTTGGATTCCTATTTTTCCATGCTGGTTGCACACAAAGCTGTTTTTTGCAGTGAAATGTGTTATGCTGGTTCTGAAATATCTATTAAATTATTTCTTATGAATTCTATCAACAAAGTGTGACAAATATAGTATATATATTCTGAAAATCCGGGGAAAAAATTAGCCGATTTTAACGTAAAATTGACACTGTTTTAGTAATATCTGGAAATTTACATCATATACCCCCACTTTTGATGTTCTTTTCTAAATATTCAAGATAACTTTGACCTATTTCCTTAAAATCAGAAAAAGTTTAAGACTTTAAAATAATTTTCTTGCTTGTTAAATTTTCAATGCCAGACAAATCACATTTTATTAGTGCAGAAAGGTCAAATAATTGATTATGCGAAGCAATTTAAAACTTTTTCTTAGTCACAATTTTAAAGTGTCTTTTTTTAAACAGACTTAGAGTTCAATTTGTTACGTGCTTTAATTATATAAAAATATTGCAGGGAAATCGTCGAAGATGTAATTTTTAATTAAGACACAAATTTCATTGCAAAAAGGTCATATTTAATGTACTGTAGTGCCAAAAGAAGCATATTGACCCCCATTTTTTGATTTGAATTTTAATTAAGCTATGTATGTAGAAATTAAAAATATACTTGACAAAAAAAGTTTAAGACTTTAAATATCAGGATCGAACGTCGTTAAGAACAAATAGAACAAAATATAATTTCAGTCGTAGAATTGATTGATTGATTGCATACTGTTTAACGTCCCTCTCCAGAATATTTCACTGATATGGAGACGTCACCATTGCCGTTGAAGGGCTGCAAATTTAGGCCTATGCTCGGCACTTACGGCCTTTGAGGAGGGAGGGATCTTTATCGTGCCACACCTGCTGTGACACGGGGCCTCAGTTTATACGGTCTCATCCGAAGGACCGCCCCATTTAGTCGCCTTTTACGACAAGCAAGGGGGTACTGAGGACCTATTCTAACCCGGATCCCCACGGGACCATAGAATTGAAGATCGGTTGATTTAACGTCCTCAAAAGTTATAAATTACTTTTAGTAGTTAATTGAGAAATACAATTCGATTCATTTTCGTAAACTTTTAAAACGGGTACTTCCGGTATTGCACATCGTCGCAAACCACGGCCAAAATGTACGATCCTCACAGGGGCTTGTTACGAAATATCTATCTTCTTTTAATAAAGTTACCCCTACTATAAAAATACACCAAAGAAAGTCCGGTTAAAATTTGTAGTAGCGAATTTCCTATTTTTAGATTCCTCCCTTGTGTATTTTTATAGTAGGGGTAACTTTATTAAAAGAAGATAGATATTTCGTAACAAGCCCCTGTGCGATCCTCTCCAAATCTGGGAAGAGCTGTGGACTCCGAACCGTGGCTTGAGACGATGGGTATTGCGATACACGGAGTTTTAATACAACTGTAATGATATAAAACGTTTTAAAAGTATCTGTTATTTTAAAGCATTTATCCACCTTTATTCTGAGAGATCAAGGTCAAATTAAAAAATACATTTAAAGCTGTTTACTTATTTAAATTCACCATCATATTGTAATGAGTTGAGATTGACTGACTTTTAGAGGTCACAAGATCCAAACTTTTAAAGCAAATTTTGGATGTCTTTGTGAACCTATCGTTAAAAGTGTGTTTTTACTTTCTTAAGTATTTACTAGCACTCGTGCTACCTGGCTACATTTAGTCCGAAATATCTGACGTTTTCCTGGCTTTTTAACGATTTTGATATTTTACATGCCAGGAAAACGTCAGAACCGGCGCATTTACGGAAACTGAAAATTTTGCTGTCTTCAACCGGAGTTGATTTTAAATAGTTGTGAACCGAACTAAATGCCTAAATCAGAATTTATCAGAAGCACATATGCTTATAGTACTCACTAAAATTAATGAAAAGAAAATATCACTCCACATTTCGTTACAGGACTTGCAAGATTTTAAAATGCACGAAATGTTAACAAATCTCATCAGTCTGTTAAAATGTTTTCAACAAATTGTCTAAAATCAACTCGAGAATGCCGCATCCGGTTGCAGGCCGTGAATTCCCAGTTTTCGTAATGGCGCCAATTCTGACGTTTTCCTGGCACGTAAAATATCAAAATCTTAAAAAGCCTAGAAAACTTCAGATATTTCGGACTAGGCTACATTACGGTCCTTATAGAATTTTACTAAAGAATGAATAAAATCATTTTTTTAATTAAAAGAAAATTCATTTAAATTTATTTCTTATTTTTATTTTAGTTTCTGACTGGTATATTTATGAACATTATCGCCATTTTGACTCTTACTCTTGCAATCAACACCTGGGGATCAGCAATATACGACTTAAATACCATGCCAGCTATCTTTGCAGCTAAAATTGCCAACAGTTCTGGCGGAAATCTTTCTGCAGCATCGCTACCATTCAGTACAACAGTCATGTATACAACCAGTGTAGACTCCCTGACAACTACGTAGAAGTGTATTCAGATCCACACGTATATGTTTCTCAGAATTTGACATTGCGCCATCTCGTTTTATTTTTAAGAATATTTATTCAATGTTAAAATTTATACAGCTCATTACTGCTAATATACCCAAGGAACTCTGTAATCTTGTAGGATATTTTTTAAAAGATTTTGAAAAGAAATTACTAACAATTCATAAATCTGCCTCTACGTCTAATATTAAATTTGTTACATTTGTAAAATAATTTTGTGTAATTATTGTTGTATATCCTCTGTCATGCATCATCATTATCATCATTTGTTGTTGTTGTTGTTGTTCTCTATCACTTTAAAATCTATGTACAACCGTTTATTATCTAATTATATAAATTTGTACATTTGTAATATGCTATAGGATGTTTATACTAAGAAATAAATAAATTATAAATCAATTTCAAAAGATTTTTTTCACTTGTAAACTTATGATGTATGAAATTAGTTCTAACAAATTTAGCTGGATGTTGCCCGTATAAATTATACCTGAAACATATAGAGATAACGAACAGTATTCCAGATCAAAAGTCCACAAAACAATACAAAATAGGAGAAGAGCAAACACGGACCTCCGAAACATCAGAGGTGGGATTAGATGCCACGGATGAGTGAGTATCTCTTACCGACCGGTCAAAACCGCCGTGTGCTCCTTGTCATGATCTGGAAATAACGGAAAAATCCGTCGTCAATTCAGTGTATAGATAATGGACTAACATTTAGTATAAGAAATGCCAGTCAGTAGTTGACTCAATGATAAATTGTATTTGCTGACAAGGTCATTGTATCGACCATAGAACTTACGAAATGATGACTTTAAACAAGCCTGCTGAAAATCTTGTTTCATCAACTTGTTGTTAATTTACTTCGTTGTAGAAATTGTTCATACGTAGAGCACACTCTTGCGTATCTAACCAACTGAGATATGTAAACTCAGTATGCAGGTGATGAAGGTATATTGCTGCATAAGTAAGGAAAGTTTACAATAGAAAAGTTAAAGTCATCACGTTTATCACAGAGCTTGGTTGTTAGATTACCATTAACGTCTTTTCCAAGTAAAATATCTAAATATGAATCAGATTTGTCAGACTCTGTAGTATCTTTTATCTCTTGCTCACCAGGATATATCGTATCAACATAAGAATGGAAATAACCATTGTTAATTGACAGTACGTCGTCGATATATGTAAATGTCGAGTTGAAGGCTACGACAAGTGTTTTCTTCTTTTCACTCATAAGATTTTGCACAAATTCTGCTTCATATGAACACAAAAATAGGTCTGCCATTAACGGGGCGCAATTGGTACCCATGGGAATTCCAAAAGATTGTTGGAAGACCTGGTCTCCAAAAACAACATAGATATTGTCAAACAGAAACTCAAGCATCTTTTTTATGTCGACTTCAGAGTACTTGTGTGTACAATCAAAATGCTTTTTAACAAGATAATTTTGCAAATGACCAATGACAAGGTAAGTAAACTTTCGAGTTCCATTTTTATTGAAAAAGCAGCTGTTAATGTAATCGAAAAGCCTGTAATATCAAGCTTTTGAGGGAGAAGGTTGAATAATAATTTTTTTGTGTGTGTTTAATAGACAATTCTATGGAAGTTAAATTCAGTGTTCCTTGGATAGAACACTGTATATACTGAACTTTACAAATGTAAGCATTCTAACAGCCCAGTTTGCGCTGTCCTTTAGATCTCAAACGTATGATAGACATGAATGATATTTGCCTACCTGAATAAAGGTAAATATGCGTAATTTCTATTTCATAATATCATAGACCTAAAACAAATTTTCATAATATTAATGAACAAATCACTCTTTGTCAAACATTGATATCTAAACACTGTTTGTTTTTAAAAAGGAAAACAAACAAAAACATTGAATTAGCACTTTAAAAAAATATTTACACATTTAATGTTAATAATAAATGCATTTACATTTTAAATACATTTTATTGTTTATTCACTAAAAATGACTAGTAAACAAAGGTAAACTTAAATCACACAGAAAGTCCAGACTAAAAATAAGAAATTATGTTTACATTGCCAATTAAATGTAACCAAGTAAAAGCAAAAATTCAAAGAAATCTAGCAGCAATCTCTGTTGTTTTTCAACACATGTAGATATCATATATACTTGAAAAAAAAAATAAATCGAAAAGACGAAATTTATCGACTAGTTTGCAATAACATCAACTGCTAGGAGAACTAATCTGACAAATACAAAAATGTACATTGTGTTGAAAACAAAATTGCTTTCCATCAGTTTTATTTGTTGAATTAATTTTAACGAAACTGTCTGCTCTCTTTGAGTATTTTTATATACTTGTCACTACAAAGAAAAATTATTGCGAAAAAACCTCAAGTAAACAAGACTCAAAATAAAGTAAACAATTTCATTACACTAAAAAGGGAATATTCTCCATTTACATTTTAAAGTAAATATTTTATAATTTCTTCAATAAATAGATACTATTGTGTGTTTAATAGAGCTAACAAATTGCTCAAAAACTGGGTATCTCAGGTGCACAGAATTTTAAATTTATCATACAGGATGTGTTATTGAAATATTCTGTAAGAATATAATGTCGCGTTTTAAAATAAGAATTCGGTATATCGGCTAGACATACATTAATATTAAAAAGTTAAAACGATTTCTTAAGCTTGTTTGAAGAAATCAATTTCAAAACTAGAGGTACTGTGAGCAATGAGCTCACTAAATGATACCCCCCCCCCCGCCTCCCATATGATTATAATGGAAAAATCCATGTTTTGCTGTGGCGGGGAAACCCAAAATATGTGTCGGATCAAAAAGTAGAGTGTGCACCTCGCACAATGGGAATATGTAATAAAGATTCTGTGAAAGTTCAATTAAAGTTGCATTGAGTTGCGGATAAGAGATGGGTACCCCAAAGCGTAACAGACAGACAGACGGACGTACAGACGGACGGATATACCGATTACAGTATACCCTCCCACTTTTCAAGTGGGGGTATAATAATACCATTGCGTGTGTCAATTTGTAAATCAGTGAATATGGGATGTGAGTTCATGAATTAACAATATCGTTTTAGAGATTAGTTGGCGGATGATGGTACAAGCCCAAGACGATTCATTGTCCGAAATTCTTCTTGTACCGAAAAAGGTTTCGATTGCCAGCAGGAATTTCTAGCATATCGAGCAGCCATCTTTTCAGCTACATTCATGCGTTTGTAGTGACGTAGGTACCGGCAGTGACGTAAAGCCTCCACGCTTGGGTCCATGTAGGATGGAAGCTTGGAAAATTGGTTTTGTCTTAGAAAGACTCTGTACACAAATTCCGACATGTTGGACGGTTTCTTTATTTCCTGCTCTTCGTTTTCTGTTTTACTGGTTACCGGGGTTGCCTCTGGCGGCTTCCTGGATTCTTTAAGTTGTGACTTTTGCCGAGAATGATTCTCTCCGTCTTCTATATAAAGTCAACGTTTTCATACATACAGATGATACATATAAATGCACAGTGTAGCGATAAAAAAGTAAATGGGTATCATATAAATCAAGTATCTAGTGGAGGACATATTAAAGAAAATAGATAATTTGTACGAACACCAAAAGTTCAGAAGGACATACAAAATGGGGCAGGGCAACCCTTCAACCTTTTAAAAACCACAATATCCAAATCTGCATGCAATTAATATAAGTGATTAATTCACTTGATTACATATTGTGCAGATCATTGATACGATTAACACAATAGAGGCGGTTTCCACTAAGTGTTTAATTCAATTAAGCGCATGCATTTATATATAATCTTTTAATCATACTTGAATGAACTGAAGTTACATATAAAAGTTTTGAAGCCTTTATTGAAAAACTTACTTTTTTTCAAATTCTTGGTCGACTCATCCCTTTTCTCCCGTTGAAGTTCCCGTGCTGTATATTCCGACTTTATTAATCTTCTCTGAGATTTCATCTCTTGCTCCAAGGATTGTTCCATTTTCGTGTCCACGAAAACAATAGGAGGATCCTCCTTCAATTCATTTACATTCTCTTGTAATTTGGGAAATCTCTCTTGCTTGGCTTTGGCCCTCTTTCGGTTTATATATTGAACACTCATTCTTTTTGACAAAGATGTGGAACTTTGCACCGAATTGACAGATTGAGATGATACCCTGCCCTCTGTATTGTCACCATTTTTGGGGTTTAATCCGATCACAGAGAGTTTCTCCATTTCTGAATCTTCCGCTCTGACCATAGGTATACTTCGTCCTGATAGTTTTCCGGATGTCTCAAACAGATGGTTTCTGATATTTATCTTTCTTTGTCTTGTTTTTTCGACATCCTCCTTCCGTGTATCCATTTGGGGTTTAGACAACTCTTCATTCCTCGGCTTTATGGAAGTATTAAGAAAATGTTCTACTTTATTTAACATATTGTTAGTATTCTGAAAAATGGCTGAGTATGTACCTGAATTAATTTGATCAAGGGTAACTTTCAGTGAAGGCAGGTCGTTTAGTCTGTTCAGTCTGGAATTATTTTCGTCCATTTTATAGCTTCCCCCGCTGGAGGAAGATCGGGCGCTTCTTGCTCTGTTTGGATTTGGGGTATTTTTCCCTCCTCTCTCTGGTTCTTTTATGTCACATTTCGAACAATCGTACATCTCTTTATACTTCATTGACGTTCCAACAAAAGCCCCAGCCCGTTCCTTTTTCTTCTTTTTTGGTGTGAGATCAGATGATAGATTTGGTAACGTTACGATTATCGTGCGTTTTGCTGGGGTTGCTGGTTTGTCATTCAGTGACTCTAATTCTTTAATGGTGACCCCTCCTTCGTGTATGTCCATCATCTGATCCTCTCTATCTTCCTTGTCCTTGTACGCGTCATTGTCTCTGTCGAGGTATTCTGCTGTGATGGCGTCCTCGAAAGACGACCGAGAGGTCGGTCTGCTCAATTGTCCCACCATTTCGTTGTTCTTCTCTAAGTCAACAGGAGAGAGTGATGTCTCTTCAGAGTTTTCTCGGTCCAGTGAGTCTACACTCAGTGAAAGTTCCTTGTACTTTTCTTCTTTTATTATATTTTTATCTTCTTTGTTGAACACTAGGGAACTAATTTTTACTTTAATTTCGTTCCCATCAGACTTGTCCAATAGCACATACCTTCGTAACTTTTTCTCTTGGACATTTTCCCTGAACTTTTCGACGACCTTTCTGACTAGCAATTTAAGCCGCAGCTTTTGAGTTCGTGTACGTAAATCCTCATGTGTGTTGGTGATTCGATCTTTTGTTGTTTTTATTTTGTCTCTGTTTACACGCACTAAAGTTTTATAAATGGCTTCCTGGCTTTTCTTGATACTCGAAACTTGAAGCATTTGCTCCTTTTGAGTTTTGTCAATTTCTCTATCCCTGTTTATTTTAGCAATGCGATTGTTGCGTATTCCGTTGTTGGTTGTATCCGATTTCCGTAAATCTTTCAGCATATATAAAAGTTCACCGTTCATTGAGGACCGGCCTTTTCCGTTGTAGTTGGCCATAGCGTAGTTTTTAGACTTTGACATATTGCTGCTATATAAATCAGCAAACTACGAAGTCTTATCATCCTTCAAGGATCCTAAACCCATTGCTAGACACCTTTTATCTGGAAATGCTCAACAAGAATATCTTATACTGCTGCTAATATTAAGAAAATATTAAACATCCATCGAGCGTGTCTTTGCATCTTAGAATACTGGACAATAAGTGCTTTATCTCGGCAGAACCGTCTTTATAATCCGCCGCTGTCTACGATTTCTATTGGATCACAAATGACAGAAACCGAACATCAAACATAACGTCAGATCAATAATATAAAGCAGGTACCTTATTATTATTGTAAGTAAACAAAAAATCACGAACAAACAGCCGAATTCAGCTTATATTTACCTCACTAGAAAGTATACATGATTTAATTACAAAGTGCATTGTCTCAGAGCTGGCGAAACCAAGGACAATACGAGTCTATCAGACCAGGGGAGATTTTGTTTAGACTGTCGTGTGAAAGTGTTTTGTGCCAATTAACACAGGTATATCAGGGATTGGAGAGATCAAGTGATTTGTAAATTTAATTATTACTGAAAAAGTTCAGCCACTTTAAATCAATTAAAATTCCGCTTGCATTGTTACCTATCTGCTAATAGAAAACACCTAGACTAAGATTATAATCAATATTTTGTATATTGATATAGCTAAGACCAACACGGGCACCTCTAATACAGCAATATACTGGAGGTACAAGGCCTTTGTAATCTTAGTCCAATTAAGATGGAATAACTTCTTGCACTTTCTATTCTAAGACTAAGATACAGTCATTGTCTGTCGCCAGTGTTTTACTGATAAAAGTACGCGTACACTATGATTTTATCATTTCTTAAGAACGTATGTTAAAGCAGACAAAAAAAAAATGTTACGCTTAATTAAGAAATAAGTATGATTTTTAAACATTTATCGGGGTATAAATAGATTCGACCACGTCCATCAAATCGTATTTTATATCTAGTATATTCCGAGAACTGTTAAAATATTATACTTAACTTATTTATATTTGTGACGATTATCAGCTTTATAAGAAATATTTGCATGTCATTGTTTTAGAATTAAAAAAAAAGATATATTTTTCAGACTTTTCTTTCGGTGCCATCACATATGATCTCTTGACCTTGGAGTATGTCCCATTAAAAAAAATGAACTTTGCTCATAACTTTTAAACGGTTTGGGCTATGACTTCTATATATCACAATTATATTTCTATATGATGAGTAGCTTTCTTGGGTTACATAACAACTTTGGCCCTTTTACCTTGGAGTTTGACCATTACAGCCACATCTTTTGAATGTTGATGCTCGCGTTTTCATAGTTCATAATTTTTTTCTTGTGACTAGAGGTTTCTTTATGTATCAATGAAATATATGCATGGAGATAACGAACGGTGTTCCAGATCAAAAGTCCCTAAACAATACAAAATATGAGCACAACATACAATGTACACGGACCTCCAAAACATCAGAGGTGGAATCAGGTACCATGGAGGAGCGAGCATCCCCTGCTGACCGGTCACACCCGCCGTGTGCTCCTTAATTGTCATAATCGGGAAATAACGGAAAAATTCGTCGTCATTTCAGTGTAATAAAGATCTAACTGTTAGTTTGAATAACGTCAGTCAGCATTTGACTCAACGATAAATTGTATTTGCTGACAAGGTCATTGTATCGACCATAGAACTTACGAAATGATGACTTTAAACGAGCCTGCTGAAATTCTTGTTTCATCAACTTGTTTGTCAATAATTTACCTCGTTGTAAAAATTGTTCAGACGTAGAACACGCTCTTTCGTATCTAATCAGCTGAGATATATAAACTCGGTATGCAGGTGATGAAGGTATATTGCTGCATAAGTAAGACTATAGAAAAGTTTAAGTCATCACGTTTATCATAGAGCTTGGTTGTTAGATTACCATTAACCTCTTTTTAAAGTTAAATATCTAAATATGAAGCAGATGTGTCAGACTCTTTGGTATCTTATCTCAAGCTCACCAGGATAAATTGTATCGACATAAGAATGGAAATTACCATTGTTAATTGACAGTACGTCGTCGATATATCTAAAGGTCTAGTTGAAGGCAAAAGCAAGTGTTTTCTTCTTTTCATACATAAAATTTTGTACAAATTCTGCTTCATATGAACACAAAAATAAGTCTGCTAAGAACGGGGCGCAATTGGTACCCAAAAGAATTCCAAAAGATTGTTGGAAGCCCTGATCTCTAAAAACAACATAGATATTGTCAATCAGAAACTTAAGCATTTTTTATGTCGACTTCGTAGTACTTGTGTGAATAATATTATGATCCTCAGACTTTAACCTTCGAGTTTGACCCTCTTCTAAAAAATATTCACTTTGGAGGAAAATCTTAAAGTTACTTTTGAGTGGTTGGTGCTTGAGCTTTTATATTTCAGGGGAATATTTTCTACAAGAGCTCATTCAATATTAACAATTTCAACCTTAGACGTTGATCTTCGAGTTTGATCTATTTTTGAAAAAAAAAAAAATTGAACCTTGACTTTCACTTTTGTATGGTTGGTGCTATGGCTTTCATATTTCATAGGTATATTTCCTGTAAAAAAAAATTATCCTTGGCACCATCAATTCTTTATTCGTGACCTTTGAGTTTGACATACTTTTGAAAAAAAACTTCACCCTTTGATATAACTTTAGATGGTTGGTGCTATGGCTTTCCTATTCAACAGGTACATGTATATTCCTTGACAAGACCTTTATGGGGTACCAAATTTTCGGTCTCTTGACCTTGGAGTTTACTTGAATTTTATATCTTCGCCAAAGCTGTCCTTTTGGGGCATCAGTATTTCACAGACAAGTCTTGTTTTCGAAATATGTTAACTTGACTGAAGAGCTGTTACGATTTACGGGAAGGAAGTATGAAAGCCAGAGATCGAAAGTCAATATGTGGAATTCAACAATGTGGACTTTTAAAATGTATAGAATACGAGACAGCATTTCATCAACAAATGTAGATGATAGGTGGTCACAGCATAAATAAATTATTATAAATGTTACTTTATGATCGCACAATGAAAGGATAAATAAAAGGTCGCGTTGTACTTGGCAATTCGGGGAGGAATAGCACAGGCACTTGTTTCGTATACGGGGTACCCCCCTACTTATTTTAACCACACAAAATAAGTAAGGGTGTCCCGAATACGAAAGAAGTGCTTGTGAGGAATAGAATAAGAGATCGAAAGTCAGCATTGGATGAACAATGTGGAAATAATACAAACACAATGGCAGATAACATGAATTTCATCAAGAAATGAAATTACTTGTTTTCATTATGAAAGGTTAAATACATATTAATTAGTTATAAGAGTATGGACTTGTAACTTTTCAATCGTTAACTTCCCTTAATGGTGCAGAATTAAAATCCTCATCACCTGCATACGGAGTGTGATTTGATACGCAAGAGCATATCCTACGTATGAACAATTTCTAAAGCGAGGTACTAGTAAATTATCGACAAACAGTTTAATGAAACAAGAATTTCAGCAGTCTCGTATAAAGTCATCAATTCGTAAGTTCTATGGATGCTACAATGACCTTGTCAGCAAATACAATTTAAGGCACATTGATATTCTGATAAGAGAGATAACTCTTAATGACACAAATGTCTATTATTCCTTTACAAATTTGTCAAGTTTAAGTGCCTTTTTGTCAAATTTTGCCCCGCAAGCCACGCTATAATTGTTTGTATTTCATTCAGCATATACATATGCTTTGGAAAATCATAAAAGTTAAAGAAAAATTTCATATGAGTGAGCAGAGGGTTTAGGAACCTTTTAAGAGTCAAATGCTGACTGACGTTTTTCATACTAATTGTTAGTCCATTATTTACACACTGAATTGGCGATGGATTTTCCCGTTATATATAAATTGTGACAAGGAGCACACGGCGGATGTGACCGGTCGGCAGGGGATATGCTCACTCCTCCATAGCACCTGATCCCCCCTCTATATAACTACTTACTTATTGTGCTTGCACATAAGGCCTGCACCGAGGACCTCCATCTCTGTCTGTCTGCTGCCATTGTCTGTACAGTGCCCCAAGTCCACCCTTGATCGTTCATTTCCTTTTCAACCGACCGTCGCCATGTCTCCTTCGGTCGCCCTCTGTTTCTCTTTCCTGGTGGAGTCCATCTTAGGGCTACCCTTGGTATCTCTATGGTTTCATCCTCATCACATGGCCAATCCATTTCCATAATCTGGCAGATATAGCAGCTGTGCATCATACAGCTCCTCGTTGGTGATCTTGTTTGGCCAGAATATCTTGTTACGGAGACATCTAGTTTGAAAGGTATCCAGTTTTTGCGAGATGTTCTTTGTCACCTTCCATGACTCAGATCCATAGAGAAGGACTATGACATTTGTAGTTTGGTTTTGGTGATAAATCCAGTGCTTTGGCAAAGATGGCACGGGCTTTTGAAATTCTACATGGTGGAATCTCCATTGCTGTATCTTACTGCCAAGGTATGTAAAACATATTTCATTATTCACATTGTATTTATCCTCATTAACTTTGTTTTGTTTACATTTATCTTAAGTCCAATTTGTCTTATACTTGACCAGGTCATCAGTTTTACTTTGAATAAATAAGCTGTGATAGTAAAATATCATCTGCAAAGTAAGATCTTTAGTGACTGTTGAAACCATAATAGATAAAGGTAGTAATTTTCATAAGCAGTCTATGCAGAAACTAAACAGCAATGGTTAAAGCAGCCCTTTACCTGTACACCTGTATATAGATAATTAGTTCCGCAGATGACCTTTGCCTGGTCCTTGTAGTCCTTTTAGCAGTTCAAAGGTTTTGGAGTGTTATTGATTCTTATTGGTAGTTTGGTTGTGAAGTTGGATTTCATTGGTTTTATTCTTATGGTCATTGGTTTTACCGCCAAAATATTCATTCTTTGTCTTATTGAGAAATGACCAATTAAAACTGTATTTTATGGACTCCATGACTTTGACCGTTGGAGACTGACAAATTCCATTTTCTGGTAAGTACTAACTTTCTTTATTACTAATTGTCAAGTAATATGTCCATTCTATAGATTTGCATTTATTAAAGATCCCAACTTCACTTCATATTAATTAAAAGTATGACCATGAGAGAAAGATGTTATTTTTATGATTGGAATTATTGATTATAAAGATCAGAAATGTATTATATTATAAGTGTAAATTGTTATATTCAAGTTACACCATATATTTTTATGACCCAGATATTTGGTAACTTTGTTCAAAGTGAACAGATGATTTTATTTTAAAGGAATATATATATATTTTAATGTATACTGTATTAAATTACAGAGTCCATATACATGTTAATTAAAGCTGTAACCACCATATCATTGTGGAAGCCTTTTCCCACAGAATGGTGAGGAATTATTTGTTTTAATTAGTATTATTTTTTATGCCTTTATATGGGAGAAGATATGACTGTAATGTCTATATATTCACTATAAGAGTTATCTCCCTTAATTGAGAGTAAATGTACATATATTTATATCATCTATAATATATCATTATGAATATATTGATTATGAGAGCTACATGTATAGATGATTAATAGGATTGAATTGATGTGCTATTATATTGTTGTTTTACTATATTTCAGGGCTGTTAACATTTGTATTTCGTATATGCTCACTGTGTCGAATAAATATATGACCTGAACCCTGACAGAGGAGTACGTGTTGTTCTTCATCACCACCCCCTGTTACAACACTATGAAAAACAAGTTGTGTTTGTGAAACATTGATCCCCCCTCCCCCCGACAGCTTATGGTGAGGGTAGAAGTTTCTCAAATGACAAGTTCAATGTTGTAGGTACCCAAAGGAAGAGCTTGTCACAAGGAACCCACTTGTGAAATATGAAAGCCCTAGTTCTAACTGTTCAAAAGATAGGGCCAAGGCTAGTTATTTTAAATACAGGTCAAACTCCAAGGTCAAGGTCAAAAATATTTTAACCCTACCAAAACCCTAGCACCAATTTCTACAAAAGTAATGACGTTAATTTGTAGGTTGACTTGCATTTGAGAAAATTCAACCCTCGATCCCATAAGCTGCAATACGGCGGCATCAGTGTTCCACAAACACATTTTGTTTTTCTATATTTAAAAAAGGGGGGTATCACAAGTTGGTCACATGATCCAATATAATGGCGTCAAGAGATATTTAATAGTATCCTCACCATACAGAATACACCTGCTGCAACATACAAGAAAAAAGTATCATGTCATTTCCTCCTCAGCTTATAATGATATGCATTTCTTAATTGTAACAGTAATAAAGCGGGTTGTTTTAACAATTTAGTTTTTCGATCTTTTAAGTTGTATTTCACCAAAGATGACCACAGATTACATGTACTTATGAATTTTCTTACATGCATATTATTGTAAAATCAATTTTTAAAGCTATAGCATGTTGTTCCATTATGTTTTGAATGCAACACTGGACTTGCTCTCCCTGATCTTTTTTTTTTGGGGGGGGGTGTAATGTGGTATCAAATGCCTTACTATTTAACTACATAGAAGAGTTTGACAAGTATCTCAAGCTATAGTCTGTGATTGTTATAACACACTGAAGTCAATGTCCAAACAGACATTATTAAACCTACTCAGATTAATAGACTTCAAGAATGTTGCAAATCATTTTTTTTATCTTGTTCAGCTGTGTCTCTATTCTACAACATCCAATTTGAATTTCTTCATGTTCTATATAAAGACATTTTTTGATGATATAGATTTTCAAGTATAAGTCAAGTAGCTCAACTTTCGTGGATTGCCTCTATGTTTAAAAATAATCCTTCTTTTTGTTATATTTGTACAGTATAGATACTCCCAGTATCGACCTTCCATCATTCACTATATATTATTCTTATCTATATACAATGTGGAGCAGTTTTAACATTAAATCTGAAATAAATTCAAAACTAATCAGTGAAACAAGTTAGTTTTCAATACCTTATTTCAGATACACATCTTAGGTTTGCCAAGAGATGGGTAAGGCTATATTTAAAAAAAATTTTTGTTTGATTTTTGGTTGCCTTCTCCCAAACCGAATACCTAACAATGGAACAACTGTTAACTTTCTATAATCTACAGGAAGCAACTATTTTTATATGTACTCTGAAAAACAGAATTTTAAAAATTTGCATTGAAACTTTCTAAGGAAATATTAATTTACCAGTTTTCTCACCTACATACCGATCCAATAATCTGACAGAATCTTGAGAGGGCAAACAATTTTTTTTTCTAAAGTTGGCCTTACTTTCATCACATGAAATAAAAAAAAATTAAATGGGGGTGTATGCTCTCTTGCACTAGTTCTTGATAATTTTTAAATATAGTTTCTACATCCCTTCAAACAAATTCCTTTCCCTTTTAACAAAAGCAAATGACCATTAATCAACTGCAAACATTATACTGTATGGATATGTATATGTACTGGAGTAAATATTATTAGTCCTGCACTGTAGTACATGTATGTTGTTTAACACCCCCACCTCCCCTCTCCACCAAGTTGTTAAACATAATAAATACAACTCCCAACTCTGTCTGTACATGTTTATTCATTATCAACATTTATGGTCTGTGTACCTGCAAAATAATAAAAAAATGTCATGAAATCAGAGAACATTTTCAATTTTAATGTGTATTTAAATGCAAAATTCTGCTAGAGATGCTCTTAGCATTCAGAATAATTTAAGATTCCTTTAAATTGACCATGATTAATTTTATACAGTACTTGCAATATTGTTTTAAAGAGGGAACTGTATTGCATTACAATTGAGTTTTTTTTTTTTACTAAAGCATGTATGACAATGATTTGAATGTCATGTTTGTGTATAGTGTTGTGTAGGAATATATACCTTTAAATGAAGCACAGGGCACATATGTGACTAAGGTATACAGCCTGTGTACAGAATCTTCATCTTCGTTCCTTTTACGTGCAAGTCGTACTCTAACTCTGTATGGGACATTTCTACAAACAGAAATTCAACATTTAATTCCAAAAAAAGTATTTGTTTTGGTCAACTAAAAAGAAAAGCCTTCCGGGAATCAGGGGAGCAGCAGTTTTTCTTCAAGCTGAACACGACTCATAAATAGGCATACACCTTTTTTGATATTATTATCTTCGATACCATCCCCAAAGGTATAACGGTATACTCTTTGCATTCGTTACACCTGAATGCTTTATTCTCACAGGTATTGGCGTGGAATGGCGACCTGTGTTCATGCTGGATACCTTGTATTAACTTTGTTTACATTTTATTGCATTCATGTGTATGTGTTTATTTGTATACTGCACAGACTGTGCAACTATTGTAAGTTTCTTGGGTATCTTACTTTCCTGCGTTAGAAGCATTAGTTATGTTTGTCGCTACTGCTATGTAGCATACGTCCATCTACACTAGTGACAACTGATTACACTGAACAGTGACTAAGTCAGGTCCTCAGATAAAGCGAGAGTCAGGTAGAAAGACGTGGACTAGTGGTGTTCCAATCACCGACTGTAATAAAAAATCAGTCGATTGCTAGCATAATCCAAGCGCTCGATTGCATCTTCAAAATTCTGATTAATCGGTTTATTAATTTATTTTACAAGCGCAATAGTTTTAAGCCGAATTTTCCAGCCACCACATAGCCATTAACTAATTTGTATTTTGTAATGGTGCCGATAAACACGAAATTGTATCTATACCCGGAAAAAAAGCATTTTCCCGGGTATGGGCGTACTCTGTTTTTTGTTCAAATTGATAAACTTTTTAAATGTCTGATTATAATTGATAATTAGTTTAATAGTTACAGTAACCCATTCATCAATTATGAAATTCTTGCCGATTCCCATCACTAACGTGGACATATTCTTTTTTATATGAATAGTGTTTAGCATTTAACCAGCTTTTGAGCTTATGATTTTCATATTATACAAGACCACAAATTCCTTAGACTTTTTTGGTACATATAATACATTAAGCACTGTGATCAAAGGGAAAATTTATATTTTTTACAGGAATTTATTGAAAATGTAATGTAAATCCAAAATATTTGATCAAATTCAGGCAAAAAAAAGGATGAAATCAATATTTTTTTTAGCTATATATATCCACTGTATAAAGGATTTAACTTTATAAATATTTAATATTGCACACACTGGTGGTTTTTAATCCCCCCTCCCTTTGTCTTTTTTAATACAAATAATATTATCTTAGTGGATATAACAAATTATGTTTACAAAGGATCAAAATTGCACAGCCCTGGCAAATCACATAAACATTTACTGTATATGTATAATTTGCAGTGTGTCATTATCCAAAAAATATCATAGCATTAGTTTACAAACTGTCTTATATTATTTTATTTCTTCTACGCCTATTTACCGCTCATGGTAGCTCAGTCGGTTGAGCGCTTGCTCCGTGATCGGGAGGTCGTGAGTTCGTATCTCGGCCACGACTGACCTAGTCGTTAAAATGGGTAGCAACTGTTCCTTCGCCATGCGCTCAGCACTTTGAAGTGAAAGTTGCGGGTCCTTCGGATGAGACCTTAAAAACTGAGGCCCCGTGTCAGCAGCAGGCGTTGGCATGATAAAGATCCCTCACTGCTCAATGGCCCTGAGTGCCGAGTAAAGGTCAAAATTTGAAGCCCTTCACCGACATACGGTGACGTCTCCATATGAGTGAAAAATTCTCGAGAGGGACGTTAAACAATATACAATCAATCAATCAATCAATCTATGCCTATTTAACTACCTGATGCCTTGAGACCAGATGTGTTTGTTAAGTCTGGTGTCTACACGAACATCAGGGGTACCCATCATCTTTTCAGCAAACTTGCGAATTTCTTTGACAGCACGGGGTGCCCTCTTTTTAAACCCACTGAAAAAAATAAATTCATTAGAAAATATTTTGCAATACACAAAATTCATTTAACAGTCTTTTGAAATTAACTCACTAAGCAAAAGGTGAGAACTTCATTAACATGTCTCAATGTTTTATCGTCATGATGTATACTGGTGTCTCATTATATTGCGGTACTTAAGAACTTTTGCATAAAATATATAATTCCAATTTTTTACTTTAATTTTCATCAAATGGTATTCATAAACCAATCTATGGCCTAACTTTTTAGTGTCAAATTATTTCCCAAACTTGCATCGTTTAACTTGTAGTATCGTTTAACTTGTAGTCTATTTTTAAAACAGGAAGTCTTATTTACCTCCTAAATTGGAGAGTCTCATAGTAACGCGGTATGGGAAAACATGGAAACTTGTTGTTGACATGGGCTTCAATTCTTATTTTTAATTTTACGATATAATTCTACATAAAAAATAAACAATTATAAAAACTAAAGACTTTCAAAACATGAACTTTTTTTATGGAATTTACTAGATAATGAGTTCAATGGTCTGAATATAATAAAATCGGGAATGGAAAATCTGTAAAATTATGTTTTATTTGAATAAAAGCTTTTCCGACGCATGTTTTTAATTTCTAATCATCACAAAAATTTACATTCAGACAACAGACATATAGTTTGTCAACAAAAAGGATATGAGCTATGTATCTGATTTTTTGGCATACAGCGCGATACAATGGAACCCGCGATATAATGAGAATCGAGTATAAATATTAAAGTAAAGCATTTAGTTAATGAACAAGACTTCATTCTCACATGACTCTCTATCTTATAACATGTCCTCTGTAAAACAAGGTATATATTTAAATTTTAGGTCTAAACCAGCCCTATCCAATGACTTACATTCCGTGAATCCTCTTGTGAAGGTGAATGGTGCACTCCTTTGTGATGACTTCTGTCAACACCTTTTTATCCCCCTTCTTTGACCCTTTGGTTCTTGGAGCCATTTCTGCAAGTGTTCAAAAACAAAATTTGTTGTACAGTAATATTATTAATGAACACACATATCATTGGGGGATACCTGTCACAATATGACTGTTTTATGTCGAATGTACCAAAAATGTAGGAAGAAATTCATTATATTATATTCTACATAAAATCTGGGCGATCGGACCCTGTGCGAACGAGAAATAGGGCGAACAAACTCTGGGCGAACAAGAAATTGGGCGAACGGGATACGAACAATTTTTAAGACCTGTAGAACACACACAATATACGACCCTTCCAACACATTTATTACTGTCCATGACTATGTTTTGCGAAACTATAGACATTGTTGACAACTGTATATATCAGCATGCTCAATGAAATTCAAATTAACCATTCCGATTCAGGGAAACTCAGTAGTTTATAATGTAAAAACACCGAATCCTCATGAGACAGCATGTAAACAAGCTCAGATATGTTGATAAATTAACGTGTATTCATCAATAAGATTAAATAGAAAGTATCTTTAATAACTTAAGATTGTAAGAAAGTTAACTTTGGTAAATGGAACTGAACGATTTGACAGATAATGCTGGATTTGTAAATAAAAAGTTTATTTCAATAACCTTATGTGGATGGCAACCGGAAAAAGGAAGATACAAGGTAAACACGTTTCGATAATCTCCGACGGAATATTGAAATCCGGAATGGCAACCATAAACATGTTTTCATTTATTTTGATATTCATATTAAAATTGAAAGTGGGGGGCTAGACCAACAAAAATGGTAAACCCCAATTTTCAATACATAGAAAATGTCTATCTTTGCAAAAAAGTGGGGGGTTAAGCCCCCTAGCCCCCCCCCCCTCCTGGTTCCGACAGTCACACCTATGTATTATAAAGAAATAGAGATTAAAATCTTTTATATATACTAAATAATTCCAAGTAAACACCAAACATAAATGCATCTATTTGATTTAATAAATGTGACAAAAGAAAAGAAGAAAATTCAGATTTATATATAATTGTAGTTATCTCTACTAAGATACATACACAGTATTGGAATACCACAAACTTCTTAGCTTGCAAGAGATTTTTATGTTTCATCGTTGACAAATTTAAGCCAACCGTTTTTAAAAACAGTTTAAGTTTTCAACATAAGAATCTTTAACATAATCTTATCTTATACTACACTACCATTTATTTGACTATACTGCACTGTGATAAAAAGTTGGTGTGGGGGTGGTGGTGGAGGGCAACAGGCCTTACATTGAACATTCTTTATGTTTGTGAAATATAGATTTTGGGGAACTTTTTGTACATTATAGCTTTAAAAAAAAATCAAGAGTAAAACTCTCTCATAACTTCAAAATAAAATGATAAAAATGCAAGTTCATAAATTAAACAAAAATAATGTGTTACCACCAAAACGTCAGGAAAAATCACTGTAGCTATTGCCGTTTTCCTGTGTCCTCATGCATTATTTAATTTCCAAACAATAGATAACACTTATCATATTTGTTATTTCACTTGTGTACATTAAAAAATAAAAGTAATAAATAAAAATGCTACTTGATGATAATTTAAAAAAATATTGAAAATGAATTTTAAATAATTAATGGCTTAGAAAAAAATGGTACTGAAAGGGTCCCAGTCATTACCCCCCCCCCCCCATTTCAATTTGCTTCCAACACCAATGCCTATGTTAGAAAATGAGACAACGCATATAATTTTTTTTTGTGACTGCCCCCCCCCCCCCCGCTCAAAAATGATCACTATGTCCCTGGACTATGAGTGAAGATATTGGATTTCCAGTATATATGTTAAGATTTGAAAACAGTTGTTAATAATTTAATTTCAAACCCTACCACTTACCCTTCTTTTACTACACTGCAACCTGTGCCCTTTGAAAGTGTGTGTGTGGGGGGGGGCTAAACCTATGCCTATATTATGGCTATCTTTGCAAAAGAGTGCATGTGTGTGTTGGGGTGGGGTGCCAAGCCCCTCTCCTAGCCCCGGTTCCGACGCCTATGATAGGGATGTCAAAACAGATCAACTAGGGATGCAAAATGCCTGAATAGCTTCAGATATTTTAAAAATCATATTCAGTTTATAAATTAACAGTTCTCATAATTAAAATTGATAAAGTTATGTTCAATAAACTTTTTTGAGAAAAAAAAAGAAGATCTTGGAAAAATTATTCTTTTATAACAAAATTTAAATGGTATTCGTCGGATTCGAACCCTAGCTATAAAAAGAATCTGAATATTACTTAGCTTTGAGCTTAAACCAATAGGCTACACACCACTTGATGAATAGTGGCATTTTTAAAAATTATATTTTGTGATATGACTGTTACTTTAAGTATTTCTCGGAAAGATGCGAATGCTTTGTCATAAAAGTGTACACTTAAAGTAATATACGCCGTATGGATGCCGATTTGTATGTGAAACAAAATGATTAAATGATTTGAAACACATAAAGTGTAATGAAAAAATAATATTTCCACAAAATTTAACTATAAAACTCGTTGTAATAACAGAACAATAAAGCAATATCTGCAATCAAGAATTCAGTCTTTTCATGAATATTGATAAAGGAAGTGCGTAAACATTAGGTCTAAATATAGACACGTATGTCCACGGGAAATTATAGACAACGAGGCACGTTGCATTTTGACAATGATTATTAATAAAAGGTTAATATGCGTCATAACAGAGTATAGATGGTTGATACTGATTACATTTAAAGATAAGTTATATTAGTAGTAACACGCCATCCATGTCAAAAGTGAGTTGTATCTCAAAGGGCTTACCTCGTTTTCTTGACGCCGTGTTTGTTTATCAATCTAAAAGTAGCGACGGCGTCACGTGGTGGATTTACTTAAAAATAGACATTATTCTCCTTGCAAGATATATAAATAATTATAATTTGATAACTTTATAACGAATTTTAGTGTGTGTGTAGATGGTGTAATTTACAGCATGTGTGTTTTCGTAACTTTTATTGGTAAACAAAATATATAAATTTCCAGCCGTATTTTAAAATGGCGCACGTTATAGCGTATATTACTTTAAGGGATAGAATGTCTATGAAATGTTAACCAAATAATAAGTCTACTTTATGAAAACGTGATGATGATAACTTTAACTCTTCAAACTTCCCTTACTTAATACGCAACATTAAAGCTTATGACCTGTATACGGGATTTATATCTCTCAGGTGATTCAAATGAACAATTTCTAAAACGAGGTAAGTTATTGACAAACAAGTTGATGAAACAAAAATATCAACAGTCTCGTTTAAAGTCATTATTTCATAAATTCTATGGTCGATACAATGGCCTTGTCAGCAAATACCATCTATACCATTCAGTCGAACACTGAGTGACTGAACTTCTAAATATATATATATATATATATATATTCGGCAGGGGATGCTCATTCCTCCATGGCACCAGTAGCCATCATCTGGTCTCACCGCTGATATTAGAAAGGTCCGTGTTTGCTCTGCTCCTGATGTGCACTGTTTTAAAGGACTTTTGAGCTTGATTACTGTTCGTTATCTCCGTATAATTCATTTATCCTATTGGTTCCAGTGTTCCCATCAATCATTTACAATTTCATTCATAACCCGAGAAAGTAGGTCAGTCACTGATTTCATTTTGACAGGAAAAGTAATAAAACATCGAGGCTTTAATGGGTTTTGGTGACGTCATTGTCACTATAAAGGTCATCGATTTGAGTTTCAGACAATGAATGGAGACGACACTCAGTTAATGAATAAAAGAAAACAATTTAAATGATTTTTTTTTTCACAGCAAAAGTAATTCTGTCTGAAAAGGTGCACACACGTCATTTAGTTTAAATGTATGCAGTATGTACATGGGTATATTTCCTAGTCATTTAAAAATGAACAATTACAAACATCCTGATTTTTATTTAATCAAATCATGCAAAAGAATATTGTTCGATTACTGATATGTGCGGCAAATGCTGAAGTGATTTTCAATACAGCTCTCTTGAAATTCAATTAATTCAGTACATTCAATTCTGTATAGTATTAACATCAACAAATAGTCGAATTTCAAAGAATAAAAACGGGCTATAGGCATGAGCAGTTCATTCATTAATTCATATAAGATATGCACTTTAATAAATGTCTCTCGAAGTTTCAATTCACAAAGCTTTTGAACATTAGTGTTCTTAGAAAATTATTTTCAACTAACACTTTGATGATACATAAAATGTATACTTACTAGTATCGCTGTAACTTCTTTTTTTCTTGATATATATGCTTCTTCTTTAATTTTATAGGCTTGTTGATATGACACAAATGGAGACAACGAACAGTATTCACGATAAAAAAAAAAACCATAAAACAATACAACAAATAGGTGCAGAGCAAACACGGACCTTCAAAACATAAGAGGTGGGATCAGTTGCTATGGAGCATCCCCTGCCGACCAGTTACATCCGCCGTGTGCTCCTTGTCATGATCGGGAAATAAGGAAAAAAATTGTCGTCAATTCAGTGCATAAATAATGAACTAAAGAATAAGTATGGAAAACGTCAGTCAGCTTTTGACTCAACGATAAATTGTATTTGCTGACAAGGTCATTGTATCGACCGTAGAACATACGAAATGATGACTTTAAACGAGACTGCTAAAATTCTTGTTTTGTCAACTTGTTTGTCAATAATTTACCTCTTTTCGAAATTGTTCATACATGTACGTAGAGCATGCTCTTGCGTATCGAATCAACTCTGTATGCAGGTGATGAAGGTATATTGCTGCATAAGTGTGCGCATGGGAAGTTGATGATTGAAAAGTTAAAGTCATAACATTTATCATAGAGTTTCGTTGTTAGATTACTATTAACGTCTTTTTCAAGTGAAAAATTCAAATATGAAACAGATGTGTCAGACTTTATAGTATCTTTTATCTCAAGCTCACTAGGATATATCGTATCGACATAAAAATGAAATGACCGTTGTTAATTGACAATACGTCGTCGATATATCTAAATGTCGAGTTGAAAGCCACAGCAAGTGTTTTCTTCTTTTCATGCATAAGATTTAGGACAGATTCTGCTTCATATGAATACAAAAATAGGTCTGCTCATAACGGGGCGCAATTGGTATCCATGGGAATTTCAATAGATTGTTGGAAGACCTGGTCTCCATAAACAACATAAATATTGTCAATCAGAAACTCAAGCATCTTTTTGATGTCAACTTCAGAGTATACTTGTGTGTACAATCAGAATGTTTAAAAAAATTTGAAATGACCAATGACAAGGTAAGTAAAAATTTCGAGTTCCATTTTTATTGAAAAAGCAGCTGTCAATGATATCAAAAATCTGGACTAATATAAATCACATTTTTACAGGTATGCACTGGATTGCGTAAATGTATCAAAAATCGATAAAATTTGTGATCTTCCTTGCAAAGGGGATTTTTGATAACAAAAGTACAGCTTTACAGGTGCACACCCGTCTGGAAATGTGACGCGCTGACGTACACTATGTTTACCCTACTCCTTGTGGTAAAGTAGTGGATTAAAGGATCTTTTATGCTAACTGACAGCTCTGATACTTTTCTATCGATTATCTGTCAAACTTAGGTATGCATCTCTCCTCACCAGAAAACCGTTACTCAAGAAGCACACAAAAAGTTTACT